TTAACCCTCTATATTTGCATTAAAAAGTTACATCTGCATTACAATTAGCACTAGTATAATCAAGCTAAGACAAAGCTACTAACTGAAAAGAAGTAACAATCTAACCACCACCTTAGTGAAACAAGAAGTTTAAATATTATTAATAGCCCTGGTACAAAAATCCCTGAAGATACAAATAAACTAATTTCTAATGATATTCTCAGGCAAATTCTATTAGAAGCATTTCCAGTAAATTGGACCACAATAATCATTTTTTCCTGTAAATATTTTTTTTATGGATCAGAAAGATTAAGATGGACATGGTATCATGAAACTCTGTGAGAGCAGGAGATGCTGATTCACAATAAATACTGTCAAGAAACAGCTCACCCACAGACTGTTCTGGTATCACGTTCATACAGCAATGTCTGATTTGTCTGTCAGAACACATACTGTATGGTACACACCTGTCCCAAGTTGTGTGATGTTGTTTGGTGCTGTACAGTGGGTTCATGCTCATGGCAACCTAATGACAACAGTAGAACACACTGTCTAGTCCTGCCCTCTCATTTGTTGCTCTGGGTCCACTACTGTGTTGCCCATCAAATAAAAACAAAACAAAACTATGAAAGCTTAAAATTGTTATGTGCCGGGGAGTCAGTTCCGCCTCATAGCAACCCTGTAACAGGGTTTCTGAGGCTGTAAATCTTTACAGGAGCAGAAAGCCTCATCTTTCTCCCGTGGAACAGCTGGTAGTTTCCAACTGCTGACCGTGCGGTTCGTAGTCTGATTCATAACTACTACGATACCAGAGTTCCTTAACTTAAAATACACCAGGTCCCTCCAAGTCTTCACTCAAACTATGGAATCACTTCTACAGAGAATGAAATCTTTGAACCAAGTTTCTCAGATCTACACATGGCTAGATACACACTTGTACATTAGTGGAAAAGCTGTGTTGAGTTTACACACTCTCGGATGGTACTAGGTCAATCTAGTGAACTGTGCAGTCTTTAATGTTAATGATCACACACACTGCTCGAGTGGTGTCCAATTGTACATTTTCACCAAAGAAAAGGCATTTTATAAAGGTTATGCATATTTTAACATGGTTCAAAACAGAAAGCAGCCAGCAATTATTTTAAACAATCATCAACAAAAAGCCTTTATCAGACTACGTGCCTAACCAGTACAAAAGTTTGGTAGTTTTCTGAGTATAGACAACATGCTAAGAAGTACTTCCATATTAAACAGCCATAAAATTGACTTCAAACTGTTGGAAAAAAGTATTTCTTATTCTTGTCACTAAGCGACATCTAATTATTCAAACACAGAAAGGACTGCGGTATTAAGCACGGATGGTATAAAGACAAGATATTACAGGAGTAACTGCCAACAAGAATACAACTTGCATGAAGTTTTAGAATATGACTTTTTGCCGATTTCTGAGAGTGCAATAGTACTCGATGTTCTAAATGAACCTTCAGATCCAGGAACTGTGTATATAATGCTGGTACAAAAAATGATGCTGGCACTTCCTCCCTCAAATTCTTCCATGAATGGCTGCTTCTGTTCCGATGCGACAGGAACAAAGCACCTCTATCAAACAAGCACATAAACATACAACTCAAGGGTCCTGACGACGTTCTGGGCGATTATCTGAATTCCAGGGTTCTACACAGGTTCAACAAACTGAGAAGATTTAAACTGTGTGGGCAGATCCACACCATACCTAATGTTCAAAGCCTATGGAATTGCAAGAACCTAGTTAAGACTTCTAAGACTATTCTTCTGGCCATTATTTTATGAAATGATTACTCACAAAAGTTAACAGTTGTCAAGGTCACCTGAATCTCCATTCCTCACAAGGGAGCCCAATTCGAAATCTGACTGATGATTTTGGATATGAAAATGCATCCAATAATATGCAGTATGAGTCAGCAGGCTTAACAGCAATGTTACTCTAGCCCAGTAATCTTTAGTTGAGGAGAAAAGTAGTCCAGTTGTTTCCAGTCAGGAAAGGCTGGGGGGAGGGGAGAGGGGTGGACGGACATGTCTAGTCGTCCTGACTAGTTTGGAATCACCCTTCTCTGAGGGAGGAGGAGCCATATGACCACACTGGACCGTGTTAAGTGTGGGCCTATGGGCCTAGCACTGATGTGCCCCAAGGTCTCCAGTACCACCACCAACCAGACATGTGACCATGGGGGTCCCACCCCACTACCTCTCTTTGAGCTGAGACTCCCCACATGCTCAGGTATGTCCAGAAAGAGTAACAGTGGATCTGAACATCTTTAATTCAGCGGGGAAAGACTAGGAAAAGCTGCTTCTCCCCAGGTCTACACCCCATTCTTTTCCACAAATGCGGGTTAGTGGAGTTTGTGTTACTCTGCTTCTCATTAGGTCAGTGACCCCCAAGTATGATTTTTTGAACTTGAGAGGTAGTGAGTGGCACACTGAAACTTTTCCGGTGAAATCTTGGGCTGAGTGAAAAGATTTCAGAATGCCTAGATTTCTACCAGAGGTCAACTGAGTTGTTGTACCTTTTGGTAAGGACAGCAAGGAGCCACACAGCCAAGGTTGAAACGCACTTACACCGGTGACTCCAAAAACAAACCAAACCCACCGCCAGAGTTGTCCAACTCACGGCGACCCTGGAGAGGGTTTCCCCGGATGTCACTCTACACAGGAGTAGAAAGAGGGACTGGTGGGTTAGAACTGCTGACCTTGCATTTAGGCAGTCCAGTGCTTAACCTACAGCACCACCAGGGCTCCTTTTATTGATGATAGAGATCAAATAATCTCTTAAGGCTCCTTTCCCATTTCCTCAGGTTTCTTTTAGCTTAGATTGGTTAACTTTTACCTAGCAAACCCCTATCCTTGTTCTGAGGAGAAGTAGTACAGCATTGGTCCGACCAAGAGAGGAGTGAAGAGAAGCTATGGCCAGTGAGGCAGGGAGGGCAGCCCCAAGCCCCAGGTGGGCGTGTCCAAGTGGGAGGAGCTAAGGAAAAGCGGCAGCAGAGAGAGGACAGAGACAGACAACTCTGCTTGGCTTCACTTCAGAAAGCTCCACAGTCAGAGGGGTCTATTATGAGCTCTTGTACAGTTTTAATGCACTCCATGTGTACAGTTAATGGGATTTCAGTTCACACACCCATAAATCATGAAGCTTGGGGATTCTGCTGAATTCCCTAGCAATGAACATCAGGGTTCCTAAATAGAGTGCCCAAGCATACTCTATCCCTTTTAATGTATGTGGTCTTTTTTTGACAATCGTTTTTTAAATGATACATTATGAGCTAGGGAAAAACAAAACAAACCACTGATCACTGATCTATTTCATGCAAACATGTTCTAGAACCTTGGTGGTGGTGGTTGTCACCAACCACAGTGACCTTGATTAAAGTTTCTGAGGCTGTCAATCTTTACAGGAGCAGAAAACTGCATCTTTCTCCCGTGGAGCGACTGGTAGATTGCAACTGCTGACCTTGAGGTTAGTCCAGCTCGTAATCCACTATGCTACCAGAGTTCCTTTATAGAACCTTAGATAATTAAAACAAACAAATTAGCATTTTTAAACTTATTGGACATTTGAAATTTTCAGTACTTTTGTCTTAACGATTGAAAGTCAAAATACATAGACAATCTGAGGGCAGGGAAAATCCGTGGAACACTATAGTTTTCCTTAGGTGTCTCTAAGAACTCCAGTATTCCTCATGGACATTCCTTATGAAAGAGGCTGGAGAAACACAGCTCACAAAGCCAATGACTCACCTTTGATACAGGTGATCAGGTGGATTTTTTATGACATCCTATATAAAATAGCCCTTGGGTTACTGTTTCAGTAAGAAACGTACTCTCTTCAGTTTTGTATTTTACAGAACTGAGAACTGGGTCAGACAGTGAGGACTCAGGAACTTCAAGGAGGGAGGGAGGAACTGCCAAGACTCCCCTGATAGCGGGGAGGCCCTGGTGGGAGGTGTCAGAACGCATCACCCTTGGCTAACGGGAAGCTCATTGGTACTGTCTTCTCATAAGGAACGGAAGGCCACTTGAAACGATACAGACAGCTAATGACACGAGATATTGCTTACTAGGCTCCAACAGAATATTACAACTCTATGAGTAATATTAAACAGGGTGTACGCTTCGCTCATTAACAGTTATAAAACTGACAACTGTGTCACAAGGCAAATCTGATCTTTCGTTTTAAACTGAGGTCTACAGTTTTAGAAATTTAAATTTTAAATATTAGGGAAACCAACTCAAAGAAAGGAAGCCAGTACGAAAGCTGAAACAAAATAATGGAAAAGTCTGGAAAAGCTACCAAAGCAGGATGATGAGATTCCAATTTGGGCTGGTCAGTGTCACACTAGTTTTCCAAGTGCGTCCCCCTGAGTCAACTATTTGATAACCATCCTATAGTAGGCACAGAAATCAGCATAGTTTGTCAAACAAAACACTAAATAGTTGTTGCTATATTAAAACATTATATTAATTCTGGTAAATGTTATAGATGGAGGAGGGTAAATCTGAAATTTTAAAATCTGTGCTTGGTTTCCAGCTAGCATGGAGTAAAATGTCAGGCGAATAAACAGCATCTGTTAACATGAAGCTATTTCTCCCTTGCCTGCCAATCAGCTTGGAATTCCATAAAGTCCACATGTGAGAAAACCATTAACAACAGAAGAGACAACAGTTGCTGGGGGTTTGTTTTGCATGGAGGAGAAAACATTCACCCTGAAATGCTTCTAGGAGGCAGAGTGCATGAAGATTCTTTGGCTTGAATCACAAATAAGCTCCAAATCTTGAGTTCTGTGGATTGAATCTGAGTCAGGATACTTTGGCTCTTAAACGACATCAAAAGCACATTAACACTTTGAGTGTAACTTGCACGTGGTGAAGGTCACCTCACTGACAATACTTCACAGGGTCCCTCCAGGAACACTGGTGCTGATGTGACAGCAACAGTGTGAAGAACTTACTGAGATGGCAGACTGAAGTGATGGGGTGAGACACCGTTAGTCGTTGGGTTTGTTCTGAAAGAAGTTTGTGAAGGACCAGCCCCCTCCACTTGATTTGGGAGAGTCTTCATCTTTAGGAGGAATCAGAAACTGTCGGGAATTGATGGAGCACGGGCTTCCGAAAGACACAATTTCACTGTTGCTGTCAGTGGATCTTGGAGAATCTGGGGATACTAAGTTCCAAGTATTTACATTTGCCTGAGGTCTGTAGCCTGTAGTTTTATCCAAGTCATCGTCTGCAGTTAAATCTTCTACCGGAGAAGTAATGGGGAGATGCATCTGTGGCTTGTAGCCTGAGCCCCCTCCAGAGTCGCTTTCTTGCTCTTCTTCTGGTTTCGCCTGAGGCTGGTACATGGACTGCACATCAATATAGATGACTTGTGAGGTTCCTCCGGCTTCATCCACTGCTGGATTTGCTATTTCTTCCTCAATGATTGGCGGGCAATAGGACACAACCACATGGTTTTCAGGTTCAGCTTCGGAGCCATCTTCAGGATGCTGAGCTACTGGGGAAATTATTTCAGTGTCTTCGATTTTAGGCACTGTTGATCGCGTTTCCAGGACCTCAACATTATTTGGGGTACAAGGATTCATTTCCAATGTTTTAAGAGCACTGCTTCCCTAGAAATAAATACAAAAGAAAGGATTACAGAAAGCTCCAAAATCTGTTGCAGTGCCTCTCTGACAAAAAAGGGACATTGGTCTTGTAGCTCTTCTTCACATGAAAAAGTTCTTCTTCCTTCTCTGTCCTGCACGCCAGAGCGAAGCCACTTGCCCTCCCTAGCAGCATATTCCCTGGCTATTAATGGTTTGTGAGAGGAAAAAAAGTACAGGATAAACAACTGAAAATGAGTAATTTTAGAAATTCAGCAGATGTTAAAAATTAAGATCTCTTCCGTACATTTTACAAAGCATACCATTTCCATGCTTACAACTTTTTAAAGTTTTAGTCTGGAAAGCTTTTTTTTAAAAAAAGGCAGCCAGCAGCTGAAAGATAGCTGTTAAGAAAAAACGGAAGATTACCTCACAGACACTCTTCTGAAACTGTAAGGCTTTACAATTTTCTGGATTTGGAATATCAGGGTAGAAGGTTTCTTTAATCCTGTAAAGAAAGAGCAATTAGGCTGATTTAACAATGATACGATTGCAAATCAGCCAACAAACATGCAAATAAATCATTGAGCTTTGACTGAAACGGCAAATATTTCAGTGAGGGAGCATCTGTGACAGAAACAGAAAAGTGTCCTCATTCCCCAGCATGTTCTGTTCAAGTAGTCTACAACTACAATACGGGGTGTTTTCGTGGAAATGGACAAAGGCTGGATGTTGGATTCTATGGGTAAGTGTGCTATCAATGAAAAGTAACGCACACAAGCATTGCTCATATAACCCAACTTTCCTACTCAGACTGGATTAAGCATGACTGGCTAGGGACACATCTGCATAGTGTCCTGCTTAACTATTTACAAGAGGATATGGACCATTAGCACAGGGAAGCTGGGGTGCTATGCAACTGGCTTTACCAGCGGGGGTTTAAAATATATGAAAGTGATGATCACATGTCACCAGTATTCTACTTGCTGTGCTGAAAAAACAAAACAGCAGTGCTATTAATTTTTACTAAATATACAATGCAATTAAAAAAGCTGTACTTGTTCAGTATGGCATACTATTTTTATAACTATTGCATTTCTGTAAGAAAAATAATCAAAGTCTGAAATGCTCTAACTCCCTCCTTAGTTTGTCTCTGACTGGGGGTAGGGGGGAGAGGAAGGTACGAAATACGTTTTTGTATGTGAAACTGGATTTTGTTAATGAGAAGGTGGTTACCAATGACTCTCTTCTATACTTACTAAACTATTACTATCTGGACTTACAAGCCAGGGTTCCTGGCATCTATGCTATTCTTCACAATAAAGGCTGGGATGGGATGTAGGGCCAGCCTGCTCAAGCACTCACCTACGCCCACTCACTCACAGCCTCTACTCAAGCCATTCCCCTGCTTCCCCTTTTCTTCTCACTTTCTCCAGAAGGTCAAGTTCATCCCAGTTTAGGGGCCTTCACAAAAGCTGTTCTATCTACCTGAATATTCTTTTCCCTCCTCTACTTCTGCCTGGGGACCCTATTCATGGCATTCCTGCAGAGAAGTCTTGGCTGACTGCCCGCCTGCCCTCTGCTCTTCCCCTGTGGACATGCCCCTCCTTCCCAGTTTCCATTCACATGTGACAAGCAGCATCTATTCACTGGGTGATGTTGGTTTAATGCCCATCTTCTTCCCCATCACCGGCTCAGTCTGCAGGGACCTTGCTTATCCTGTTCCTAACTGCCACAACATATCCCCCCTTCTCCTGGGGGGGACCACTCACACTTTTGCTTAATCAGTGAGTAAATGACCAAATTTTCTAAATAGGTCAGCGGGACATGTGGCATCTTAACTATGAAACTACACTTCTTCTCACCAAAAGCAACTGCCGTATTTACGCCTGTAATTGTTCTTCCCAGTGACAACTGTAATTATTTTTAATTACCAATAAAAACAGTAGGGGAAAACTTACAGCTCTCATAATTTTAAAACCTTTAAATGAGCTGTCCTAATTTTTTTTTTTTGCCTTATTATTAAATGCAATATAAAGTCGGACACACTTATTTTCTACTGTCTAGTTACAACTCCAAGGATGTACATACTTGTTAACACAAGATTACATAACAGTGCCCTACGAACCAAGCAGGGAAAGTAAATAAATCCAGGTACCGTACCATTCTCGTTTCCGATAGCAAAGGATACTAGTTACCACTCCAACAATGACAGCCACTGCCACTGGGATGAGAATGGCAATAATTAATCCCACAGCTGAAACGAGAAGGTAGCAAATGTCATAGGAAGCAGAAAATTCATTTGCATTAAGAGATACTTAGATTGGTAGGTCATTTGAGGTGCTCCTAACTGCTCCAGTGTGAATGAAAGACTATCGAAATGTAATGTTGAAGAATTAAAGTAATTTTAACAAGAACGCTAAATTCTTTCCAACAGTGTTTATCAATCTTGACACTACTGACATTTTAGGGTAGACAATTTCTAGTTAAGCAGCCCTGGTAGCATCCTGGTGAAGAGCTTGCTTGCTAACCAAAACTCAGCAGAGTGACTCCATGCAATTTCTTAGGTAACTCATTAGACTATAGCTTCAAGACCTGACAAAAATAAATAAAAAATATGGAGACATCTCATAGGTTTTTAATATTGTCTTCCACCTGCCATCTGAAAAGTTTCAAAAATAAAAAAAATAAAGACTACCCCAAATCAGGGGTTTCGCAATAAACCGGAACTGCTAGAAATGCTATGCATATAAGGATGAAAGCCATTTCAACGAGGGTACTGAACTTACAGTTTTCCTTTGTCACCACGTACATGCTCTTCTCGGGACCTATTCCTCCACTCGTGTAGGCTCGCAGCACCAGATGGTAACTTGTTTTACCTTGAAGATCGGCAATTCTCAATGTCTTCTGAGATAGGTCGGTAATATTCTTAACCTTTACATCAGAAGGGCCTGTTTGAAAAATGGGTATGGTTACTAATCTCCACAACAATTTCTCACATGGCTAATCATAACCGCCAGGTCCACAGACCCTTGTAGGTGACACTGGTTCGGACCACTCTGAGCCCCAAGGCGTTCAGAGCCAGCAGAGACCAACTGGGGTTTGGGGTCAACTGTTTACACCATCACCACTCGTCTATCAGTTTTATGTGTGTTGTGATGCTGGAAGCTATTCCCACGGTGTTTTAATACAGGGTCATCCATGATTGACAGGTTTCAGAGCAGCTTCTAAGCTAACAAGACAGACGAGGTAGAGGGAGAGGCGGAGTATTTCCGAATGCTTCGCCATTGAAAATCTTGCGACTTGCAGTGGAGCACTGTCAGACAGCATCAGAATGTTAAATACTGACATATTATGAACAGCATCAGAATACTGTCAGATATAGTGCTGGAAGAAGAGCCCCTCAACCTAAAAGGCACTCAAAATATGACTGGGGAATGGCTGCCTTCTCAAAGTACAGTTGACCATGAAGATGAAAAGGGAGTAAAGCTTTTGGGACCATCATTTGCTGATGGACACAAGGCAAAAACATTCATTAATAATTAAAGCATGGAATGTACAGAGCATGAATCTAAGAAAATCTGAGGTTGTCAAAATTTAAACAGAACACATATAGATTGATATGTTGTTAAGTGCCATCGAGTTGGTTCCGACCCATAGTGACCCTGTATAGGGTTTCTGAGGAGCCCGTTGGTGAGCTTGAACCGCTGACCTTGCAGTTCAAACAGATTTGCACTCTGATGCATTAACCCACAGCACCGTACCAGGATTCCAAAGATTGATTGCTACGTTGTTGTTGTTTTGTGCCGTGGCATTGGTTCCGACTCATAGCAACCCTGTACAGGGTTTCCAAGGCTGTAAATCTTTATGGGAGCAGAAACCCTTATCTTTTTCCCGCGGAACAGCTGGTAGTTTTGAACTGCTGTCCCTGAAGTTCGCAGCCCAATTCGTAACCACTATGCTACCAGAGCTACAGGCGCAAATTACTGCTGTTGTTGTTATGTGCCATCGAGTCAGTTCCAACTCATAGTGATGCTCCATAGGGTCTCCAAGGAACAGCTGGTGGGTTTGAACTGCTGGCCTTGTGGTTCGTAGTCCATGGCTGATTATACAGTGCCTCACTATGAGACCATCCTATACATTGTAGTTGTTGGTTAAGTGTCATCGAGTTAGTTCAGACTCACAGAGACCCTCTATACACAGAGACCCTGTATAAGGTTTCCAAGGAGCAGCTGGTAGATTTGAACAGCCACCCTTGCAGTTCAAACTGACCTTGCACTACAATGCATTCTCCTGCAGCACCACACCAAGCATCCATCCTAGTGACGTGAAATTGACTAGTATTTGCCCTTTTGAATCTGACACATATAGTTTACTGTGCCAGCAATAACAAAGGAATGGCGTCACATTCATCATCAAAAAGAACATTTCAAGATCTACCCTGAAGCATATTGCTGTCTATGATAGGATAAATTGCATATTCTTACAAGAAAAACCAGTTAATACTACTACTCAAATTTATGCACCAACCATTAAAGCCAGTGATAATGAAATTGAAGAAATCTACCAACTTCTTCAGTCTGAAATTGATTAAACAAGCGATCAAGATGTATAGACAATTACTGGCAACTGGAATGAAAAGGCTGAAAACAAATGTAGAAAATGGCCTTGGAGATAGAAAGGAGGATGGAGATCATAAAATAGAATTTTGCAATACCAAAGACTTGTTCGTTGCCATACTTTTAATTAAACAATGTAAAAGACAACCATTCACATGGGCTTTAGCAGATGGAATATACAAAACTGACTACATATCAGTGGGAAAAGACAGTAAAAAAGCTCTGTATCATCAGTCAAAACAAGGCCAGGTTAGACTATGGAACAGACCATCATATGCTCATATGCAAGTTCATGCTGAAGAGGAAGAAAATTAAAACAAGTCCACAAGAGCCAAAATACGACTTTGAACATATCCCACCTGAATTTACACAGCTCAGGAAAAGATCTGCTGCATTAGACTAATGACTGGAAACCAGACGAGCTGTGGGATGACATCAAGAGCATCATGCAGAAGAAAGCAAAAGGTCAGTAAGAAGACAGGAAAGAAAGAAAAGGCCAACATGAATGTCAGAAGAAACTCTGAAACTTGCTCTCCAGAGTAGTGATGCTAAAGCAAATGAAAAAAATAAGGAGGTACAAGAGCTGAACAGAAAATTTCAAAGGGCAGCTTAGAGAATTAAAATCAAATATTATAATGAATTATACAAAGACCTGGAGTTAGAAAACCAAAAAAGAAGAACACACTCAGCATTTCTCAAGTTAAATGAAGAAAAATTCAAGCCTTGATTTATAACACTGAAGGATTCTGTGGGCAAAACACTGCGTGATGTAAAAAGCATCAAAAGCAGATGGAAGGAATCCACAGAGTCACTGTAGCAAAAAGAAATGGTCAGTGTTCTACTATTTCAAGAGGGAGTAGATGATCAAGAGCCAGGTACTGAAGGAAGAAGTCAAAGGCGTACTGAAAGCACTGGCAAGGAACAAAGCTCCAGAAATTGATGGACTAGGAATTAAAATCTTTCACCAAAATGAAGCAGCACTGGAGACACTCACCCATCTACACAAAGAAACTTGGAAGACAAACTGACTAACTAATTGGAAGAGATCCATAATTGTTTGAGCTCATACTAAAGAGAGCTGACTCAATGGAATGCAGAAATCATTATTATCACATGCAAGTAAATTTTTGGGAAAGATAACTCAAAAGCAGCTATAACAGTACACTGACAAGTGAACTCTGCCAGAGGTTCAAGCCAGATTCAGATGAGAATGTGGAACATTCTGATGGATCTTGGCTGAAAGCAGTGAATACTAGAAAGATGTTTATCTGTGCTTTATAAACTATGCAAAGCCTTGTGACTGGATTATGACAAGCTATGGACAAGTATTCCAGAACACTTAATTGTACTCGAGAGGAATCTGTACACAGACCAAGAGGAAGTTGTTCAAAACAGAGCACAGGTTCTGAATGGCTTAATTAACAGGAAAGGAATCTGCCAGGGTTGTATTCTTTCACCATACTTATTCAACCTGTATGCTGAGCAAATAATACGAAAAGTTGGTTCTATGAGGAAGAACACAGCATCAGGATAACAATAGGCGATATGCAGATGATACAACCTTGCTTGCTGAAAGTGAAAAGGACTTAAAATACTGATGTAGATCAAAGACCCCAGTCTTTGGTATGGGTTGCATCTCAGTGTAAAGAAAACTAAAATCCTCACCACTGGATCCATAATTAACATCGCGACAAATGGAGAAAATATTGCCAATGCCAAGAACTTAATTTTGCTTTCCACACTTATGGAAGCAGCAGTCAAGAAAATAAATGATTTATTGCATTAGGTAAATCTGCTGAACAAAATATTTTCAAGTGTTCAAAAGCAAAGATGTCAGCTTGAGGACTAAGGTGTGCTTGACCCAAGTCACTGTATTTTCAATAGTCTTAAATGCATTTGAAAGTTGGAAAATGAATACGAAAGACCTTAAAATAATTGATGCATTTGAGTTACTGTGTTGGAGGAGAACAATAAATGTATCACGGGTCTCCAAAAGAACCAACAAATCTGTGTTGGAAGAAGGATAGCTAGCCAGGATGCTACTTAGAAGCCAGCATGGCTATACTTCATCTCTCAAACTTCAGACATTATCAGGAGGGACCAGTCCCTGGAGAAGGACATCAAGCTTGCTAAAATGGAGGGTTAGCAAAAAAGAAGAAGACTCCCAATTAAATGGATTGGCACAGTGGACACAGTAATAGGTTCAAACAGAGCAATGATTGTTAGGTTGGTCCAGTATGGGGCAGTGTTTCATTCTGTTGTTCATAAGGTCGCTATGAGTTGGAACTGACCAAAAGGTACCTAAGAACAGTAATTCCCACCACATTAAACTTCAGTTTCTCAGACTATGAGACAGGACATCATCACTTATCTGACAGACCTGAACACACACGCTCTAGAGTAATGCCTGCCCTACAGTCAGAAATCGATAAAAGTCACTTTCCTTGCTGTTACCAAGAGCATGAAAACCACCAGAGTCAAACCCCAGCCCCCTCAGGCTGCTCCTGCCTGTGTGTTAGAGGGAGGTTCAGAAATTACTTCAATCCACTCAAAGTGCAACCTGAGTTCTTCAAGGTGGCCCGTGAGGAGCCTTCCAAATCACTTCAAATGGAAGTGTGAAGACATTTTTATACTACTATTTTTTAAAATGTTAATCAAAATAATGCAAGATAATCATTTTAAAAATTGAATACTGCTAAATGGCTAATGGAGCCCTGGTGTGGCGCTGTAGGATAAGCATTGGACTGCTACCTGCAAGGTTGGCGGTTCAAGTCCAACAGCTGTTCCTCGAAAACCCTCAACAGGGTCACTGTGCATCGAAACTAGATGGTACTTAACAACATTGTTGTTGTTATGTGCTGTGGAGTCGGTTTCGACTCATAGCGACCCTGTACATGGTTTCCGAGGCTATAAATCTTTACGGGAGCAGAAAGCCTCATCTTTCTCCCGCGGAATGGCTGGTAGTTTCAAACTGCTGACCTTGTGGTTCGCAGCCCAATTTGTAACCACAATGCTACCAGAGCTCCTTACTTTAAATGGCTAATAATAAAATGCAACAGTTCTCTCTACCCAACCCGTCTCACAAAAATAAAAACACTTTTAAAACCACATTATCAGTTTCTTAGGATATACCTCCCTATTTCAATAAAGAGATGCAGGTGGCTAGTTCTTGCTTTTTAAGTGTCAGATATTATTTACTTGTGCCCCATCCATTAAGGTGAAAATTTAGCTCCCTTACACTACAGCTGGACTCCTGATGTGCACCGCAGGATCAGCATTGGACGGTGGACCACGAGGTTGGCAGTTCAAACTCACCAGCTGTTCCTTGGAAA